TAGTGATGGGTCGTAACATGTTTTCGGCGTAACGTAACGTAACTAGTTTCTTGAGAAAACGTAACCTGTTTCATAACTACGTATTTTTGTAACTAGTTACATTTATAGATTTGTACTATAGTGTAACTTGGAAACTGTTAAATTGTCCTATATCTTTCCTCACTGTCGTATCTTTACAATACAGGTCATTTCACGATGGTACGGTCACAATTCCTAGAAAGTAGGTTTATGGCATTACTTAGCAAACAAACCCATGTATTTACCATCGACGATTTGATATTTTACACTTTTACAGAAAGATATTTTTGCATTTGGTAACTGTTGTATAAATCTAAGTTAAAAATAAACATCGTACCCTCGGAAAATTATCTCCTAGAAAGCTTCAACAACTTTGCTACACAATTACAAAAATTTTAAATATTGTAATAGTTGTTTGCTACTAAGTTCTTCTCAAGATCTGATCTGGAATTCATAGACTTTCTTTCATGACTAAAAATATATGAGGCCACAATAAATAATCTTTTAAAATAGTTTTTCTCTGTATGTATGATTTTGATCTGTTCAAATATTATTTACTCAAAATCATAACTCCGAAGAACGAAGACGGAGATATGACAAAAGAAATACGTGTCCTTCGAATAACAAAATAGGTATAATACCAGGCATCACGTTATTGTTACCCATGGGTACCAACTTTAACGTACAGTAAGCTATTTACAACGTTAAAACCGAAGATACTAAACTGCTTACTCAAAGTAACCGATAACGAAAATAACCATAACCGTAACCGCTTGTCGTACACAGTCGAAACAGGTTATACGATTATTTAGCTAGTACGCAGTTTCGGAAACTACTTACGGTACATAACGCTCAACCCTACTACGCAGGGAGGAAATAACAAAACTGCTGTTGTAGGTACCTACAGCGTATACTGCAAGTAGCAAAAGGTATGGTATAAATATAAATCATCGACGTTTACTAATGGACATGCCTTAGCGGTCAGAATTGTGGTACAACACGAGAAAGAGATGGAACGAAGTTTCGGATAATATCCACCTCTCTCACGCTAGTGCGTAAGCGTGTCATGAAAGAAATAGCATTAGTTCGAAACTGGTTCGAAACCATACGCCATCTTCCTCACTTTTCGAGCCAAGAAATTATTACAATGACATACGGCTAAGGCACGTCCATTAATATATGTCTATGGTATGATTGCAGCAGTTGTTGCGGGATTAAAGTTTGCCGAGTTAGAAAATTTAATATTTTTAGTGACTAGAGTGGTCAGTAACAGTCCAGTGTACCAAAACTCAACTATTTACGTAGTTCAAAGTAATTTTGTCCTTGTTTATTTTTCTATCCTATTCTAATAACTTTTGGCGCTTTATTTGAAATTTACCCTGTTGCTACTGTGGCGTCACTCTAACTTAACGCAGTTTCACGGGCACTTTTTCACAATAGAAATAGTACTCCTCACCTCTACCCTCCATACATTGTTACACAATATAATACTTATTTTATGTTCAATATTCACGGGATTACAAATAAAATTGCAAGGAATAGTACCACTTAATTCTCTTACTAATTTAGATTACAAAGATTTGACCTTAGGGGATTATGTAAACAAACAAATATATTCCTTATTTCATACTTTCTCCGGCACCCCCGCAATATATGTATTTGTGTTTTATTGTCAATATCTTTTTTATATTTGATATTTCTTACTACGAACAATTTTTATTTGTTGTAATAACAGAAAATTTCTTGAAACATTGATAAATTGTGAAAGCAAGTAAAAAATAAGAAGGGTAAAAATATTGAACAACATTAATGACTCTACTTATACGATACGTACCTACTTTTGATTAACATTATTCAACTAAATAGTGAAAGCCAAAAAAAATACAATTATTATATTCATATAGCAATTCTCAAATATGGCAAAAATTTTACGACCGCGTTGTTCTGTAGTAGATATTAACATTTAGGCAGATTGTAATGATTGTGAATCAGAAGCATAAGGATATTGAGTGCGATACACATTGGGGTTTGCTTATAGGAGCTACTGAACACAACTTTTTCTACATAAAGCACTAAATTAGTAAAATATCTTCCCGTAATCATTGGTTTACATTTTGATCTTATTGACCACTTTGAATCTGTGCAATTTATGCGATTAACTGTAGATAAGTTTAAGCTCATTTATTACATAATACATAGTATAAGTATGTAAACCAGTAGTGTACGACAATCTGGCGTTGAAAATACTAGCATTCTAAGCGACCGAAATACTTGTCCACGTTTTATCGAAGTGTTGTGTTATTTGGTTTATTTATTTACTACAATGCAGTCTCCTTTTATATTTTTATTAAAGATAAGGGATATATCATGTATCATCCACATAATACTAATCATATTAACATAATAAGAAACCCTAGNAACTATCATTACCGAAAAATAAAATTTTCCATGGAGGTTTTAAATCTGATCCATAACAAAAAAAACGACATGTACGAAATCTTTTGTTTGCTGTAATAATCTTGCATTCCCTTAAAATCATCATTGCCATCATTGCATCTATTGTCATATTATTATAATTATTATTATTAGTCTGTGATTATTATCATTATTATACTGACCATAGATAAATACTAACCTTGAAGATCATGATGACTAACCTATCTATGGACTGACCATTAACCTAAACATGATTTTAAACTATTTATCATAGATAATGTATGGTAATACTTCACCATTGTACTTCACAGTCATAAACACAGCATAGACATATATTAATGGACGTGCCTTAGCCGTATGTCGTTGTAATAATTTCTTGTCTCGAAAAGTGAGAGAGGTGGCGTATGGTTTCGGACTAGTGCTATCTTACGCACTATCGTAAGAGAGATGGATATTGTCCGAAACTTCGTTCCATCTCTTTCTTTTGCTGTACCACAATTCTGACCGCTAAGGCATATCCATTAATAAACGTCGATGAAACACAGTATGGTGTAATGGGTGTGACATCTAGAATTAAATCATTTAAAAGTTTATCTAGACTATCGACGTTTACTAATGGACATGCCTTAGCGGTCAGAATTGTGGTACAACAAAAGAAAGAAATGGAACGAAGTTTCGGACAGTATCTGTCTCTCTCACGTAGTACCGTACTTCAGAGAAATTTTCTCAAACGCTTCAAATAAATTTTAAAATTACGATTATGAAGTTAAGAGATAGTTGACAAAAATAAATTTTTGAATAGTAAATTAATTGATTTTCATAATGATTTAATATGATTTTTAATATGACGAGTATGGTTAGGTATGACATGAAGTATTGAGTATGACCTAGAACAACTTCGAGCATAGATAATAGATACACAAGATAATAGATACACAAAGAATAGAAAATTGGTTAGTATGTGGATGTTATATTGTGAAGCATTGAGAATGTTGTGAAGTCTACAATCCCCAAGAGGATTTTTTTCAAGCGATGTAATCTTAAAAAATATTTTAGTGGAAAGGCAAAACGAACATCATGTCCAATTTTTTCGAAAAATTTTTCAATAAGGTTCAATTTGAAATTTACTCTTAATTTTCGGCCTTTTAAGTGCAAAATATTTCAAAAATATATATGTATACAATATGACATTGTTAAACAACAACATATATGTTTTAATATATTATATTCTTACCTAGACAAGAAACTATTAAATTTTCAATATTGTACTAGTAGTAGGTTTAGGAAAATGTCTGTTTTAAGGGTAAGCTTATTATTTTACTACTTAAGAATGCATAGAAATTTTTGTTCATGAAAATAAAACATTTTAATGTGGTGTCTGCCAAAGACTATTCAAAAGAACAAATAGAAAGAACACATGCAAACCTGTTTGGTTGAGAAGCGCTTCAAATGTGAAGCTTGTAGAAAAAGCTTTACACGAAAGAATCATTTAAATGATCACCTGAAACTTCATTTTGGCGAGAAGCCATTCAAATGCAGTATCTGCGAAATATGCTTCGCTCGGAAGAATACATTGAAGCAGCACATGCAAACTCATTTGAATGAGAAGCCGTTCAAATGCAATGTTTGCGATAGATGTTTCGTCCGGAAATGTACTTTGGATCAACACATGCAAATTCATTTAGGAGAAAGGCCATTCAAATGCAAAGCCTGCAAAAAAAGCTTCACACGAAAAGATAGTTTAAATGTTCATATGATAATTCATCTTGGCAAGAAGCCTTTCAAATGCGAAACCTGTAAAAAAAGCTTCACACGAAAGGATCATTTAAATGTTCACATAAATACCCATTTTGGGGAGAAGCTGTTCAAATGTAGTATCTGCGAAAAATGCTTCTCTTCTAAAACCACTTTGAATAAACACATGCAAACTCATTCAGTTGAGAAGCGATTCAGATGTGAAGTTTGCAAAAAAAGCTTCACATGAAAAGAGTACTTAAGTGTTCACATGAAAACACATTCTGGCGCGAAATCGTTCAAATGCGAAACCTGCAAAAAAACCTTCACACGAAAAGATTATTTAAATGCTCACATGAAAACCCATTTGAATGAGAAGACCTTGAAATGTGATATATGTAGCAATCAGTTCAGGTACAAGTCTCAATTAAAACAGCATCTAAAAGAGCACATTACTCCTAAAAAAGAATTTAAAGTTTTCTGTAAATGTAACATATGCAAAAAAGAGTCTAACTTCAAGTCTTCACTGAATGAACATATGAAGATACATACTAATTTGAGATGTTCACTTTGCACTGGGTCAACAAAAGAATGTGTCTGCTCCAAAAACCTTGGAGATAATAAGACTAATCCTCTAGTTAGAGATACTTTTATGTTTGAGTGTCAAACATGTTTCCAAACGGTCTTTTGTAAATTTCAACTGAAATTGCATTTGCAAATACATTGCGATTTAAAATGTGTAGTTTGTAAGGAGGATTACAGGAGTTGCAGTTGTTCTGACTATTTTTCTGCTATAGAAAAATCAAAATGCATTAACATTGATAAGCCATTAAAAGAAGAAACTATTGAACCTGCCTTGATAGTTAAAGAAGAAATGTTTACTCAAATTAATGAAACTCCTGTAAATAATGAAACTAGCAAAAGTTCCAATAATGCCCTTGAGCCCTTAAGCATAATAACTGTTATTAAAGTTAAGGAAGAAGAAACATTTATTACTGTTAATGAGCCTATTATATATAAGGAACTTATTGTACCTAAAGAGGAACTTAAAGAAGAGAAAGAAGAAATTATCGAAAATTCCGTTGAACCCTTTGCTAAAACTGTTGAACACAATGATGAGCCCTTCAGTTTAACATTAAGGAAGAATTAATGTAAATGAAATGAAATTTGTATGATTTAGGTGATTTTTTTGCAAATAAATATGTTATTTACCAAACATTTTTAAATTATATCTGAATTGAATGGCTTTTCATAGATATTTCTTTAGCATTGTCCTGTTAGAAAAGTTACTACAAAGGCTCTATATTGAATGATTTAAAATGTTTACAATATATTGCATTCCATTACTAGAATATATTTTTTTACTACTTCCATATCCATCCCCACACATTTTATCTCATTAGTTTACGTTGTTCTTGCATTTCATAAGTACTTTTGTAAGTTAAGAAATATAAACACTTGAGGCATCCAATAATTAAAAAAATTTTTTCCACCAAAACATTTACTTTATTAATAGTAGAACTGGAATACATGAACATTCACAAACATTAATCGAATGATATATTAGAGATTGATACAGTCTATAAAAAAATAATAAATTCGCATAATACACTTAATGAAATTCAAAACATACCAAGATAAATAATTTACTAATATTTTAATAATCTTATGTTGCATTTTTAATAATTATGTAGGTAAATAATTTTTTTATTAAACTGCTATGTTCCTAATTGCGAGATTACCATTCATTGTTACTATTTTTAAAGCTAATCATTATTAACCATTACAAAAAAATTACGTAAATGTTTAGCTAAAAGCATTTTAAGTACAATATGATTTTGCGAACGTACAGAAAGTGTTATACATTATTATTATTAATAATTAATTGATTAAATAATTGTCTACTCTTCCGGGGTCTGAGATGCTGAATCCAAAATGGTTTCAAACGAAAACGGTTGGAAGGCATAACCAGCGCCTTTGTAAAATTTGCTTTGAAACTCCACCCTACAAAACATTTTGAATTTTAAAACAGTGGATTCCCTTATTGATTGTTACTTATTGAAGATACAATTTTTCTTTAGCAAGCAACATTAATATTATAAAGTGGTAATGTTTGTTTGTTTGTTTATTGGTATTGTCCGTTCAATTAGAGAAAGCTATAACATGAGCGATGCACATAAAATCTCTGGCGTTTTAAATAACTTCTAGCAAGAACATCCATTAAGGCAGTTTGTACACATCGGTCTGCCATTGTATACCTTTCTGTAAGTGAACGAACTCTGTATATAGAATTCCTGGAACTACAGAACCGATTCTAAAAATTTTACTAACGGACTGCACTCTTCCTAAGAAAGATAGGCTGTACGATTATTTATAATTCGCATTTTTCTTGAATAAACATTAAGTTGTGTATATATTACATGAAAACAACTGAAAAATGTTTCTTTAATAGTTTCAACTTTTTCAAAACATACCAGTGTAAACGTAGAGTATGTAGGAATGCCGAAAGCCCTTCCATTAATACAAGAATTGACACAGTTAGGCAAGCCCAAAACATAAAAATAACATATAATACGATTCCACCTTTCCAATCCTGAATTACGAATCCTCTGCGCAATACCATTTTCCACAATACATCGGCCAGTTCTGTTAATATAATAAAATTATGAACAAAAAATTAATTATTTACAGTTAAGCAACATACGCGCATGGGCAAGAGATAGAGCCCAAAGTCGCAAATATGAAGCTGTATGCGATACGGATCCTAATACGTATTCTATTGTATGTATCCCCTGATGTATGAACATCTCGCTAACGTCTTCTTCATGTTCTCCAACACCTTCCTCAACTCCACCAGGACATCTATTATTTACCGCTCCACCATTAACGTGTACGCTGTTATTTTGAAGAGGGCCTTCTGTATCTCCATTTTCGACGGCCGAAGGCATCTGTTGATGACTAGCCTTAAAAGAAAAAATTTTTAGGTGTTTCATTTCACAAATTTATCACAGGGCTTTCGCGTACGTTACTAAAACGCAAGTCATAAGAATACTTGTATTTTCGTAAAATTTCTGAATAGTAAAGGAAGATGTTTTTAGGCCACAAGCTTTTCTCCTCGAAGAATTGAAAGCTCAGAAAATGTGTTTTATTGAACGTGGTAAGTTTAATGTCAATGACGTCCGAAGATCAGAGCGTTCCGTTGAAGTCACCGGCCCAGAAAACGTAACAAGTGTCAAAATTATTAAAGAAAGATCGACGTATAACACGTCAATATTTACAGAAGATTATAACACCTAAAAGTGTACACAAAATACTTCACAGATCATTGTAGGTATGCGCTATTGCCGTGTTGGTGAGTTTTCGACTCTATACAGTATTCAGATCCTTGTTCGTATAATCAGTACAATGAATTTAGTTTTCAGAAGCGACCAATGAAACGTCTGTGTGTATATAACTTTTTAGTTGCATATTAGGTATATTTAACAGAAAATTAAGAGAATCACTATTGGCTATGCATTTATTCCAATTCAACTCACTACATAGCTCTCAACAGCAACGATTTTTAAACGAAAAGAAATGCTCTTTTTAATCCTGATGATGTATTTAATTTTCTATTGAATATACTCATTCAACACTAACGGTAGGGTAGATTATTAGTAAACAAAAACTAAAAATTAAAAAAAAATTTCTTACTAAGGCTTTCTCCTTTTGACCTCTAAGTATGAAGAATGGCTTAGCGAACAGCATCCATGGTATGCACAAAACAGCAATAACAACTAAAAGCTTTTGCAGCGCCATCTGACCAGCATAAATATGGGCATCGCATTCTTTATCCACGACTGTTGTCTTGAAGAGAATCATGTTGATAAAAGTGATGAGTATCGATGGAGCACAATGGGGACTATATTTAATATATGCCACTAAACATAAAAGAAAATATGCTATTATTTTAATAGAAACACTTCGAACAATTAATATAAAATATTGATTATAGCATGAGATAAAGGAAAATAGTCAGAAAATAGCAATTACAGTACGCAAATAAGGTAAAGGAAGCACCGACCATGTATAACGTTAATAATAAGCCCTATTACAAGGGAGTAGCAAAACATCAAAAAAGAATTATCGATACAAATATGAATAATAATAATTTATATGAAGAAAATTGGGAAAAGTGGAAAACAATAAGCCCTATCGTCTATGATGATTATCGTCATCAATTTTACAAACACTACATCCAATTAAAATATAACATGTAAAAGAATCTCCTTATGGCCGATGCTTGGGTTACCACATGTGTGTTCATTAATAAAGTTAAATAAAACATATGTACTTGCACAAGAAAGAGAAAGTTTTCGATCAAAATGAACGAATTTGTAACAATTTTCGATATTATCAAAAATAACTGAAAAAGAAAAATGCTTTTGCTTTTTCAATTTTCACTTTTATGACAATGTTCTTATGAAACGCCTTATATTTATTTATATCTATTTACTTACGTTCATCAGTAGGAAAATACATAATCCATTTTATAAACATTAACAGCACCATGTACAGAAAAATGAAACTCATAAATATAATTCGCGGAATAAATTCGCAAATGATATCCAATCGGTGATTAAAGTATCTAAAAATACGTTAAATCAGATTAAGATATTATAAACTCTAAAAATGAATACTTACAAATGATTCAGTAAACTTAAAGACACTCCAAAAAGCATATGAATTATACCAAAAATTATGGAAATCTTCATTTTGTAAGAATTATGGAATATAATTTTATTCTGAGCGAACTGCCAAACAGGATCCATTCCGAAGACATACGGAACTCCCTCGTAATCGTTTGTTGAAGGACTGAGCATTAATACTTTTTCCTTGTTCATTTTTTCTAAAGAGATATTGTTAACGGTCCATTTTGATCCGAAAACGTTTATAGACTTAGAAAATATATCGTTGTAGATAAAGCCAGTGTACATTGAGAAAACTCCCATTAAGAATATAACGTAACGACCGCCAAAGAATATGTTCCATATCTGGAATTAAAAATATATGATAAAGACGCAATTAGAATTAAAATTGTCCACAAAATGTTTTCTTAAAGGAATTTAAAATAGTGAATGTCGCATATTTCGAAACAAGCTCACCTCATTATCTGTTTTTTTGGCTGCCAGTGGCTTCTCTTTAAAAATCATCCACGCTGCAAACAATGCCATAACCATACCATGGCCCAAATCGCCAAACATTACCGCAAAAAGAAAAGGAAATGTAATTATTGTATACGGTGCTGGATTCATCTCTCTATAAGAAGCTATTCCATATGAATCGATAAGCGCCTGAAAAGCGCTCGTGAATTTGTTGGTATGATTGTATGTCGGTGGATTTTCACATGTCTCCATTCGATTTAATATTGGCGGAACGGAACTACCACTTCGTTCCTGTTGAAAATTTAAACATTAGAAATTGGCATAAACGTTTTTAAATAAATTTCTACTTTATTTTGTCCAAATATTAAAATGAATAACATTATTGTTTTGAAGTATCAACTGAAAATATATTAAGAAATTGCTAGACCTCCGCCACAAATTTAAATATTAAATACAAAACGTTAACAAAAAAAGATGTTAATAAAGCTCATTAAAAAAGTAAAATAAAAAATGCTTCGATTCTTTTACTCTCTTCTCAATATTGTGTGATATTTTAAATAAAATATGTACCGTGCCCCGTCGAAGAGCAAGTTGTATATTTTCCAAGTCCAAAACTGGTACCCAACATTCAGCTATCAGACATTTCTGAGTTACGTCCAAATTAAAAAGATTAAGGGTATGGTAAATGGCCTTTATTTTTCGGACCTTAACAAACCAGTTTTTAATATTTTTCGCAGCAGCTACTAGAACGCGATGTCTATGATCTTGTGTTTGACCCAAAACCTAGAATAAATAAATAAAAAATAAGTAACACTAAGCCCAATGTAAAGAAAATTTTAATGGCATACTACAATTAAAACGACCAGATAATTTTCTTCACTTAAGAAAAACACTTGCGTCTTTCATTCCCACCAGCACTAACCTTGTAGGCGTAGTCCCTTCAACCTACACTCTAGAGTAAAGCTGGAGAGTAGGATGGAGATGAAATAGTGGGAATGGGGGAAGGTGGTTGGTGAGAGATAAGGGCTTTTAAAGCGAAATGACAGATTATCTCTAGAATATTACTGCCCCAGTGATTGTCTTAATGACCCAAAGAAACTACAGAAAAACTTGGACTAAGGCAATGCTAAAAGCTATGGTCTAGATCTCTAGGTCATGCCGCTAAGTCAGTTAGAATAGAACAATAAAGGCATAATAAGTATTATCACGTTACCCCTCGTAGGCCATAGTGCTTACGAGTGACGTCAACGCTAGTCGACCGAGCGGTCTTGCCGGTCCAGCTGGCAGCAAACGACAGTGGATATTCCAAAATTCGAATATTGTGATTATTTAAAGACTTTCAGTTTGAAAATCTTGTCAGGCTTCAATAGAACATTTCATTGCATTTGGTAAAAATGTTTATAAAGAGAAAAACCATTTTTTTTAGTAAATACTAGCATATAGATATACAATATCCC